AGGAACACCGCTTGTACCTCACCCACAGAATCACTATCTTGTATGTCTCCACATACTCAGGCTTTTCGTCTAGGTGGTACACCACATACATATCATAAGGCACTTGCACTTAATAAAACAGCTCAATAGCATTTCAGTAATCATCACATAATTTCATAAAAACACATCATGTATATAAACCATCCCTCCATGAGGTATGGTGGAACCAACAATGGACAAAACCGAGGACATGAAAGCTTACCTCTAAAGCTAACAATCCAAACTCAAGGGTCCACACCAGCCCAAAGTCCACAACAGCACAATCACAATCTGTTTAGAACAGAAATCTTATCAATATTCATCTTCTAGGAGTTCATCATATTACGATAACATTTCCTCTTTCGTTTAGTTCTCTAAGGCTTCTCCCAAGGCCATAAGTTCTTAATCTAGGTGATTCTGACTTAGTTCAATTATTACAGAGGTTCATATTAATCATTCAAGGGTCCAGAAACCCAATCCAAGCTTCTGTTCGGACAGAACAGTACGCAACTCGAAATTCTTCGAATATCCGGATATTTTACGGGGTCATATCTGGATATCCATATGCGAATATCATATCCGGATATTCATATCCGGATCCGGATATCTCCAATCCCATATCCAGATATCATATCCAGATATTTCGCGACAGAATGCAGTTTTGCATTCTCGCGAAGATATCCATCCAATACATCATTTTTAACACTCTTACACGTTAAAGCATGCATTTTTATACTCCTTTAGGTCAATATTCATGTTGGTTACTTAACATAATCGTTTTACATGCCAAGACTTCATATTTATCATGGAAATTCATAAGCAAAGGTGATGGTGCTTATCACCAAGACTTAAAATAGAGACAAAGGTGCTCTTGGAGCTCCCAATGTAGCTCCAAAAATCTAACTTCACAAAGCCACGAAATGGTGATCAAAGCTTGATCCTTTCTCTATCACAATGGCACCTAGAAGCTTCGAATGCCAAGAAAAGGCTCACACCTCAACACTCAAGAAGTCAGCCCCTAAATCACCACTAAACATAGAGCATAACTTAGAAAACAAAGGCCTTTCTCCTACTCAAGTCTCTCCCACACACAACCATGGTGTTTTGATTAAGGAACAATGAAGAAAGGTAGTCACTTTGGAGTGTTCTATGGAGAAGATGAAGGTGACAAGGTGGAGGAAGGTGGCAGCAGCCAAAAGACTCATAAACTTCACGTAGAAAACAATAGGAACTGACCTAGGTCTTTGTGCCTCCTATTTATAAGCGTCTTAAGTTTTAAACTCACTGTATTATTACTAATAGCTCCACTAATCATTTTAACTTAAAACTTCAGATTTTGAACCTAGACATTTTTCTAGGATTTTTTATATTTTTATTATAATTCTCACAGCACTTTGCCGGTACGCGCTTTTACGTTGCCGATATCAGTTCTGACGTCAGTTCTCATTATTTCGACTCCAAACTTGACATACTACTCCTAGATATTATTCTAGGAATATTCATACACTTATTATAATTTTTCGGGATACTTTATCGATACGCATTTATACCGTGAAGCAGAATCGGTATCTGCACTTTTCGTCAGAAAAGCGACTATCAGCGTTATTAAACCCTTATATTATTTATTTAATCTCTCTCATAATTATTTAAGGTCAATTATAGAATTTATCTCTTAGCTCATAATTAAATTAATTAAATTCCTAATTTAACGGTGCAGGTTCTTACACCGCACGTGCCATCTGCTAGATTTAAATGCTCTTGTGATTGTGGTACCATCATTATAAATTTAAACTATGTTTATAGGAGATAAAATATATCAAATGAGGTGTCATTTCGTAGAAATCAAAAAATTATGTGAAATCAAAAATAAATCATCTGATTTGGATAACCGAGTAAAAAATTATGGCCTTCCGAAGTCTTACGGTAACAGAACTGCCTACGTGGCGCTGACATGGCACGAGTCCCGTCAGTATCATTGACTGAATTAATTTGGAAAAACTTATCCAATCAACTTTAATTGAGAAATTTTTTTGGCCCAAAAATCTTAGAATGATGTTTTGCCTAATTATATATGTGTTCCATAAAAATAGAGTAAATATCTTTTTTGGTCCATAACAAAAAATACGGTTCCCACTTTAGTCCTTTACAAAAAAAAATTAGGTTCGAGGTCTCTCAGAAATTCAAAGTGGACCCATTTAGTTGAAATCGTGGTCCCTCACAAATTCAAAAAAGACTCATATTAGTCTCTCAAAAAGACTAAAATTTTGAATTTCATAAGGACCAATTGACTAATTTTTTTTTGTAAGGGACTAAAGTGGAAACCTTGTTTTTTGTTAGGGATCCAAAAGGGTATTTGCTTGTCCTCAAGTGACACAATAAATTAGTTCCAGAATTTATCAAATTAACCACTCTCTCAACCAAAAAAAAAATTCCATTACATCATTCAAAGATACTCACAACAATCAGCAATCTAAAACATTTTTCAGCAACATTTCAATGTTCAGCTTTTTAAAATCTCCAGTGGATCATATTATCACAAAGAGCAGGGAACAAAGGCATGTACTTAGTTCAGCATTTAATCAATCACAAACCAGGCAGCTTGGTGATCCTTTTATTCCATAAAAAAACTCAGCAAACAGTGTGTGAAGTTCAACTGCATGGGTGCCTCATTAACTGTTGAATAATGACAAAAGAGATCTTTGAAAATTTATTTCTTAACACAGCATGCAGAATTTTTCAAAAGGCACAGAGATGGCAACTTTTCACATCCTCATTTAATCACAGAAGTATTCAATCAATGCTCAAGGGTCCTGTTTCTCTCAATCTCACACTGGGAAAAGATGTAACATAGGCTTGCTAAGATGATCTTGTCTCCTAAGTGTCACACAGACTTAAACTTAATCAAAGGGACTTGAATAGGTTGTAACTTGGCTAAGGTGAGGGTGGAAAATATTATGGGGATTTGGCTAACTTAGTTATAATGGAATAGAAATACAATCATGAAGCTTAATCAATCAATTCAGTGGCTGCTACTTTGACTGCATTTTTCTCTTTTTGACAAATTTTTTTTATGACAACTTTTTCAAGGGCTGAATTAAATCTTTCTCAAACCCCCAAAGTATTTTTGCCAAATCTTTTTATTCTCTTTTTTTCCTTTTCTTTTTCTTTCCTTGGAAACCAAACTTTTCATTTAATTAGCAGTGTCTTACTATTATTTCCTATTGCAGCCAACAGTACCTTGCTTCTTTTCTAATTCCATTATAACTAAAAGGTGTGGTAGATGGTGGGATAGGATAAGATGTGGGTATGTGAGAAAAAATTTAAAGGCTCAACACGGGGTTTTCAATGGATGATGATTTAAGGATGACTTTTTGGTTTGGAAGTGGTTAAACAAAAAAAAATGCCCTTATCATTTTAAACTTAAGCCAGTGCTACACTCATCAACTGAGCATCAGAGCAAGTTTTGCCTCACTACCCCAGTGTAAACCTCATAAAAAAATATGTGGGTGTGTAGGCTCAATAACTCACAGTTTTTGGTCAAGTCCCCATCTCACTTGCCTAGTGTTAACACTCACACTTTGGATTAATCCATTAATCTTCTCAATCTCTCAATGCCATTACCCCTCAGCCATTAATACACTCATGTCACTCTCCATTTACACCACTTCCCTGAGTTCCTTTCCTTCTTCAAAATTTCAGCTGACTAGTTGTGAAACAGACCACTTGCTACCAAACACCTTACAATCCTTCATTCCCTCTAGAACTCAACCTCAAGCCAACAAAACAGCAAACATCCTAGACAAAAACTAACTCAACAAAACAGCAAAAGAAAACAAAATAACAACTATTCACAATGCATCTAAATAGCAAATAAAAACAGCAAATTCCATTCACCCCCAAACTTAAGAGGAATAGTGTCCTCACTGTGGCTGGACCAGATTACCGAAAAAATGTACATGGGTGGTGGGTAGAAGTCTTGCTCTTATGAAGTGATACCACACTTGAGCTTTTTCCACTAAATAATGTTTATGCATAGTGTGGGTATCTTCATGGACATCCCATTGTGTCCCTGGGACAACAATGGTGAGCAAGACCTCTTGCAAAAATTTAGGGTCATTTTTCTTTTTGAAATCTTGATATTCATCCTTTGGCTTTGTTGGGAGAAAATAGAATTCTCTCACTGCCTTTGGGCCATAGGATATCGTGACCCCCCTACAAACTAGTTCAGTTTTCACTTTGCTTATTACCACAGCATAAAATTCCTGTATAACAGTGACATTGGCCACCTGCTGAGGGTGCAAGTAAAATTTTTCCCACTGTTGGGATTGCTCCACCTCATATACATAAGCTGGATAAGAGGTGTGACCCTCAAATCCCTTGTCAGGGATTGATTCCCTATTTTTCATGATTTCTTCATACCTTTAAAGAATGTCTCTAGAAGTAAAGGAGGTGATTGAATGACTCTCTGGGTCATTCGTAGAGTGTTTTACTTCAGGACCAAATGGTCCCCCACTCCGCAAATTCCCTTTTCTCACCATAATGACTGACCAGACTCAAAAATGAACTAAAAGAAAATTAACAAGGAGCAAACAACAAAACAACAAATAAAATAAAAGGACTGGATAACACCAGTAATGCAGTCTTAAACACCCCCAAAATCAGACTTGAATAGTCGGATAAAAAACACCTGACAAAACATCACAAAAAGAATTTGTTAGAAACAAAAATAATAAACTGAAAAGTAAACTGAAATATCAACAGCAAATAAAATTCAAATTTTTTTTTTAAACAAAGTAACTTCGTAAAAAAACAAAAAAATACCAACAACAACAAAAATATATGTACAAAAGATAATGTAACCATGCTTAATTTTTAAAGTCTCAAGCTAGACTTTTCACTGCTTTCTTGTGTCTAGTTAGTGGGAGAGTCAATAAGGGAGATGGAAATTCGAGCTTTCTCAATTGCCTCCCCTAAATAATGCTTTAACCTTTGACTATTAACAGTGAATTTGCTACCATCTTGTTCATTGCACCATGCAAATGGACTTTTGTAACCTTAAATGGGCCAGACCATCTAGATTTCAATTTACCAGGAAAAAATTTTAATCTAGAATTAAAAAGCAGGACCTGTTGTCCTACTTCAAATTTCCTCTCTAAAATTTTCCTATCATGCCATCTCTTCATTTTTTCTTTATACAACTTGGCATTTTCATAAGCATTGAATCTAAATTCATCCATTTCATTAAGCTGGAGAAGTCTATTTTCTCCTGAAGCAGTGGCATCTACCTTCAGCTGTGTGGTAGCCCAATATGCCTTATACTTAAGCTCTAAAGGAAGATGGTAATTTTTGCCAAAAATCAGCTTGTATGGAGAGCAGCCTAAGGATGTTCTATATGTTGTCCTATAAGCCCACAAAGAATCATCTAGCTTCAGGGACCAGTCTTTCCTTGAAGGATTCACAACTTTCTCTAAAATCCTTTTTACCTCTCTATTTGTAACTTCTACCTGCCCACTGGTTTGTGGGTGGTAAGCAGTAGAAACTTTGTGCTTAACTCCATATTTAGCTAAAAGAGCTTCAAATTGCCTACTAGCAAAGTGCTTACCTCCATCACTTATAATAGCTCTTGGGGTTCCAAATCTGGTAAAAATATTATTTTTCAAGAATTTAATTATCACCTTTGAATTATTTGTGGGTAAGGCAGCAAGCCTCCACCCATTTGGACACATAATCTACTGCCACGAATATGTACTGGTTTACAAAGAAGGGTGGAAATGGGCCCATAAAGTCTATACCCCATACATCAAAAAGTTCTATTTCTAAAATTGGTTTCAAAGGCATTTCTTGCCTTCGGGACACATTACCCGTCCTTTGACACCTATCACACTTATGGACATAAACATTGGCATCTTTGAACAAGGTAGGCCAATAGAAGCCATTGCAGCACCTTTGCTGCTGTCCTCATACCACCAAAATGACCACATATGGTGAGTCATGACACGGCTTTAAAATTTGCTCTTTTTCTTCCTCTAACACACATCTCCTAATGATCTGGTCAACACATTTTTTAAACATGTAAGGCTCATCCCACAAATAAAACCTGTTGTCATGCACCAACTTTTTCCTTTGTTAGTAACTTAAATCTTTAGGAAGCACCCCACTAACTAAACAGTTAGCTAAGTCAGCAAACCAAGGGGTGATGTTAGTGGTAACCAAAATTAGTTGCTCATCAGGGAAAGTTTCCCTTATGACTGGCTCAAGTTCCTTTTCACATTTTTGCCCTTCATTTAGCCTAGACAAGTGATCTGCTACTTGGTTTTCGGATCCTTTCCTATCCTTTGTTGCCATATCAAACTCTTGTAAGAGAAGGACCCACCTAATTAGCCTAGGCTTTGAATCTTTCTTTTCCACCAAATATTTAATGGCTGAATGGTCAGTGTACACAATGACTTTAGTGCCTACCAAATATGACCTGAATTTGTCAAAGGCAAACACCACAGCTAACAGTTCTTTTTCAGTCACTGTGTAATTTAATTGGGCTCCATTTAAGGTCCTGCTAGCATAATAAATAGAGTGGAAAACTCTATTTTTTCTTTGTCCTAGCACAGCCCCCACTGCCCAATCACTTGCATCACACATTAACTCAAATGGCAGTGACCAGTCAAGGGCTATTATAATGGGAGAATAAATCAATTTATGTTTTAGCTCCTCAAAGGTTTTGAGACAAGCCTCATCAAAATGGAAAGGGGTGTTAATTTCAAGCAAATGACTAAGAGGCTTAGAGATTTTTGAAAAATATTTTATGAACCTCATATAAAAACCTGCATGCCCAAGGAAGGATATAATTCCCTTTATGTTAACAGGGGGTGGCAGTTTCTCAATCTGCTCTATCTTGGTTTTATCAACCTCTAAGCCATCCTTAGAGATCTTATGTCCTAGCACTATGTCCTCCCTCACCATAAAGTGACATTTCTCCCAATTTAAAACAAGATTTGTCTCCTCACATCTCTCTAGCACTCTTCCCAAATTATCCAAACATTCTTGATATAAGTCACCAAAAACACTGAAGTCATCCATGAAGACTTCTACAAATTGCTCTATCATATCTGTAAAAATAGCCATCATGCACCCTTGAAAGGTGGCTGGTGCATTGCACAGCCCAAAGGACATTCTCCTAAAGGCAAAAATGCCATAGGGACAAGTAAATGTGGTCTTTGGCTGGTCTTCAGGGGCTAAGGCTATTTGATTATAACCTTAATAGCCATCTAGAAAACAATAAGACTCCCTACCAGTCAATCTATCCAACATCTGGTCTATAAAAGGTAAGGGAAAATGGTCCTTCCTAGTGACTTTGTTGAGTTTTCTGTAATCCATACAGATCCTCCAACCTGTGACAGTCCTAGTGGGTATTAATTCTTTCTTCTCATTTTCCACAACAGTGATCCCACCCTTTTTAGGAACACACTGCACTGGGCTGACCCAGATGCTATCAGAAACAGGGTATATGACCCCAGCATCCAGCCACTTAATTATTTCCTTCTTGACTACCTCCTTCATAATGGGATTAAGTCTCCTTTGCTGCTCCCTAGAGCTGCTGTTTGGGTCTGTCAAAAGAATTTTGTGCATGCAGTAAGAGGGGCTAATGCCTTTGATATCTGCTAAAGACCAACCTATAGCCCTTTTAATTTTTTTTTAAAACAGCCAGCAGTTGTTCTTCCTCTAAAACAGTGAGCAAATTGGACACTATGACAGGCAAAATGTCTTTTTCTCTTAAATAAGCATACCTAAGGTCATTAGGCAGAGGCTTGAGCTCTAACACAGGAGGTTCTTCAATTGAGGGTTTGGGAATTTTTAACCCTCTCTTGGCTAATTCTAATAACTCAAAATTTTTATTTTTCCAAAGCACATCAGATCTGGAATTTAACCATTTCCCCCCTTTTTCTGAATTAGTTGGACTTAACTCTAGACCCTCACAACCAGAAACTCCCATTGAGACCAATGCAGTTTCATGCAAAAATTTGTCTTTTACCACATAATCTATGATATCTAGCCTAGAACATTCTTCTATGTCTCTTGGGTATTTCATGGCTTTCAAAATATTGAATTTTACTTGCTCACCATTCACATTCATGGCCAATTCACCCTCTTTCACATCTATCACAGCCCCACCAGTGACTAAGAAAGCCCTTCCTAAAATTATAGGCACCTCTTGGTCTTCCTCATAGTCCAAAATAATAAAATCAGCAGGTAGAATAAATTTATCTACCTTTACCAAGGCATTCTCTACCTTCCCTTTACGATAAACCAAGGACCTATCAGCCAACTGTAAAGTTACAGTGGTAGGATTAGGCTCTCCTACTTTCAGCTTCTTGTACACACTCAGAGGCATTAAATTGATACTAGCACCTAAATCACACAATGCTCTGCCTATGCAATGGTCTCCTATGGTGCAAGAGATTGTAAAACTTCCTGGATCTCCTAATTTGGGAGGTATTTTGCTAAGCAAATATTGACTGCTCTCTTGTGTAAGAGCAACAGTCTCAAACTCTTCTAATCTCCTTTTTCTTGAAAGAATTTATTTATGAATTTCACATAAGTGGGCATTTGTTCTAATGCATCCATGAATGGAATGTTGACATGCAACTGTTTTAGGAGGTCTAGAAACTTCCTAAACTGATTGTCTTGCTTCTGTTTTTGCAACCTTTGAGGAAAAGGTGGTGGGGGTCTGTTTGAGACAACAGGTGTCTCAACATTTGGCTTAAATGCTTGACCCTTTTTATTGGCTTTTTCCATGGAAATATTCCCTAAAGGTGGGTCTATAGGGGTCTGATTTTCTGGTTCAATCAGAACAGGAAGGGGATCACTATTCTCAGCCCCTTGGGGGCTGTCATGGACAACAGAATTCTGAACTGGTGCAGAATTTGCAACTTTTTCTTGTTGCCCTTGTTCCTCTGCTCTTTTTTTAATGTGGAAGGTCTAACCACATCTTCGGGCTAATTCACAGATCTGCCATTCCTAAGCTCTATCATGTGACATTGCTCATTATTCCTTCTAGGCTTTTCAGTGTTACTAGGCAAAGTACCTGGGGGTCTGTTATTCAAAGTATTTGCTAAATGGCCTAGTTGGAATTCTATATTCCTCAAAGATACAGGAATACTTTGTACAACAGCTTCCAAACTGTTTTGCTTAGTTTCATTCTTAACCAAATATTCTCTTAACAAAGCTTCTAAGAAAGAAGGTGAAGAGGTAGGCATCTCACTAGATTGAGCAACAGGTTGCTGCCTTGGAGATTGTTGGTAGTTTTGGGTTGGAAAAGGTGGTTTGGTTTGGGTATTGGAGGGGCCAGCTTGCTTCCCTTGCCCTTGGAAATATTGGGGCTGTTGATTCTGCCTCCAACCTTGATTAAAGTTGTTGGAAAAATTATTTTGGTTCCTATTTTGGTTCCCCACATAGTAGACAGATTCTGGGTTGGATGGGCAGTTACCAAACAAATGGGGCCCACCACAGAAAACACAAGTTTCATTTGTGTTCACTGCATTGACTTGAGGTTGGGGCACTGGAACTTGAGGCTGAGACAACCTTGCCTCAATAGCTTGTCCTTGGGTTTTTACTAAAGTGGACAGTGCATCAAACTTGGCTAAAAGGGCTGTTACAGGATCTACCTCATGCAAACCAGCCACTCTTCTTGACTGATTTCTCTCTTCAGGCCATTGGGCATAATTTTGAGTCATTTGTTCCAACAACTCATGGGCTTGATTAAATGACATGGAAATAAACATGCCATTAGCAGCAGAATTTGCTAAGGCTCTGTTTTGAGTATTGAGGCTGTTGTAAAGGGTTTGTAACACTGCCCAAGAGGGAAAGCCATGGTTGGGGCATTGCTTAAGAAGGATTTTAAATCTTTCCCATACATCCACTAGGGTCTCACCATCCTTCTGCATGAAGTTGGTGATGTCACTTCTGGTTTGCACTATCTTGTTGGATGGGAAAAATTTCATGATGAATTTTTCAGCCAATGTGTGCCAATTGGTTATTGAGTTGGATGGAAGGGAGTTCAACCACTCTTTGGCTTTGTCAGCCAGTGAATGAGGGAAGAGCTTCATTCTCAGCACATCATCTGAGATGTTAGGGTTCCTAAAAGTGTTGGCCACTTCTATAAGATTCCTAAGGTGCTTATGTGGATCTTCCATCAGTAAACCATGGAACTGCCCCATATTTTGGAGCATGGTGAACATCACAGGTTCTAACTTAAAAGGCACTCCATTAACAGGTTGGGCAATACTTGGGTCCAACTCATCCAGCACAGGTATGATGAAGTCCATCATGGACCTATCATTGTCATCTATTATTGGCGAGTTCACTATCCTCTCTGGTCCTCCTACTCCTTCATTCCCATTTACACTTCCTAAATCCTCCATTTCTTCAACTTCTGAAAGTGGAATCTGCCTATTCGCTCTCTAGGTTCTTCTCCTAATTCTAAATGTCCTCTCAGGTTCAGGGTCAAAAGCTTCTAAGAAAAGGTGTGGAGTTGCACTCATGCACCCTTTGAACTAAAAAAAAAATTAACCTGACAAGCTTAAACAACCTAGATTACTATTCAGTTCTTTCTAAAAAAAAATTACAAGAAACAATTAGAACAGAAAATTCCAGAATTGCAACAGTAACAGTAACCACAAACAGATAGAATCACACAACAGTAAAAAAAAAAACTAAAGGAATGAAACTAATAATAAAAATAAAAGACTGACACTAAAAAATTAAGAAATAAAGTAACAACTATGAAACAATAGATTAGAAAATTAAATTACAGAAAAATTATATAAAACATGTAGAAAATCAGAATATGAACAGAACAAAAATCAAACTACCACTATCAAATAAAATATAGCAATAGCAACTAACACAATAAAGAAAAACAGAATAAAAAATAAGCTAAAATAAAAACAGAAAAATGAATTACTCAGAAACAGCAATCACACAGAATTCTAACAATGTACGCCTTCGATCCCCGGCAACGGCGCCAAAAACTTGTTGCCTTGCTAACAGTTATGCAAGTAAGCACGCAAGTATACGCGACAACAAGTAATAAAGGGCATATTTGAGACCCTACTATCGTTCCCACAAGGATCTTTAGCGTTTGTAACTTGACTAAAATTTACAATTGCTAAAACTGAATCTAATCTAAAAAGTGAGTAAAAAATAAAAACAAAATAATCTCAAGACTAAGTTAGAATATTAATGAACATTGACTCTACTTTTTTTTTATAATTTTCTGAATTTAAGAATTGATTTCATGAAGTAAAGGGTGAAAAATAGAAGGAAAACAAATTTGGTAGCTGATGTGAAAAGATTTTTATTTAAATAAATTGCAAACAAAACTATGATTGAAACTCTAAAAAAATCACAGAAAAAGAAATCTGAGTTGTTGAAAAATAGGTTGTAAAAACAGGTTGAGCTTCGGTTGCCTTCCCCAACAGCCACTGAATGAAGGTTGATTACAGATTACTGAAAATTAATTCTCAAGTAATGGATCATTTCTTATTGGTTTTAATCTCTTAAAACCATTTTGTCCTAAACAAACATTTGCACATCTTTGTGCTAAATGAAGCAAAGATTCATATAGTTCCAGTCCAAAAATTACATGGAGGATGTTCTCATCTCTGAGTAACAGTCCTTGAAAGCTCTCACACTCAAGTCCATGTGCTTAATACATGTCCGAACTTAGTCACCTCTCAATGGCTAATTCCTAAAATAATATCTACCATCAGGCCTTAATAAACATAGTATTTAATTTCTAGCACAGTATTAAACAACTGGTAATCAAATTTCAACAAAAGCAATTAACCAACATCATTAACTGTGGTTCGGGTACCTACACCCAACCTTGAGAAAATTAGCTCATACCCATGAGGATTGAGCTACAAACAACTGAAATTAAAATGTATAGAAATTTAGAGTGCAGAAAAATAAAAGTACAGCACCAGTCCTAATCACCGGGGAATGCTCAGTGCTGTACCAACATGCTTAAAGCCTAATAAAACTTCAGTACAGTACCAAAAATTAAAATTAAAATTCTGAAGCAGAAGACAGAAAAATGAAAATAACCAGCCAGCCCCACACTCACTATTTCTTCTCCTTTCATAGCCTTCCTCCTTCGCATGCATGGGCTTTTGCCTCACACCTCAGCAGTCACCCACACGCTCCTTCTAACCGTGCGATCTCCTTGCAAGGGTCACAATCGTACACCAAAAAAATTCCTTTAGCCCACACGTCTAACAAACTCCAGCTCATCCATTTAGTTAAAGGTAGTGTTAGGCAATTTCTGTGTTTAGGATATATGGCTAGGGTTAGATTGCTTCATTAAGGAACCGATGGTGAAGGCTAAGGTTCTGTGGCTCTCAAAAACAAAGACCGATGTGGCTTAGTGTATCGATTTGTTAAGAGGGATCAGGAAATGGAGGTGGGTTGGAAAATATGATGAGGGTTAGGGTTCGGTCACAAGGTGAGCGCTAGGGTTCTGTGGTTCTCAACTTTTCTTTTACGCTTTGGGGTCTGTTTTTTACTTCCTTTCTCTTTTTCCTTTTTCTTTTTTGGGCTTGTGGTTTTTGCAAAGTGGAAGATCGGCCCACTTCTTTGTCCCTCATTTTCTTTGCTTTCTTTTTCCTTTGCTTTTTCTTTTCTTTTCTTTCTGGATTCTCTTTGCTTGGGCTTCTGAATTTCTCTTCAAAAGTTCAGCCAATCCTTGTCTTTTTTTTCTCTGTGTTGACATTATCACAAATGGGCCTGGGAATTACAAGTACAAGCCCATCAGCTCTTAAATCAAAATAAATCAGCTAAATGCATTTGGGACTAACATTATACACAAATTATTCTTTTCATTTACAATTTTAATATCAAAAACCCATGTTCTAAGTCACATTTTATAGACTTATCAGTATTTACTCATAAAAATATAATATATGTATTGATATATTTTATGAGGATAGAAAAATAATTACGCCTATACATTTTTGAAAATATATCATCTATTATTTCACTTTAAACTAGAGTCGTATTTAGTACACAATGTAACAGTAGTATTAAAGATATTTTCCTATTTAAAAGATCAAGTACAATATGATTTTGTTGACAAAAGTAAAACAAAAAAAAATGGAATCTAGTGACAGAAGTAAAACCGAAGTATTTGTTTTTTTTTTTTTTTGGTATATTATTATTATTATTTTTCTTTAATATATAGATGAGTGACATGTAAGAGATACAATTATATGCAAAATATTTTATTTTGGACTTTGTAACGGTTGATAATGTACATTTTTTAGCTACATATAATACTTCAAAATCAGATCAATTTGTTCACCACAATACAAACTAAATTTACTATTAAAATATACTAATGGCCCAACTTGTCCTAAACTAGGACAGATCTTTGTTTTCCATGCAGTCAGACACGACATCTTCCTATAAAAAATGCAATGTTCTAGAATCACCAACCACCACATTTAAGGCTCAAAATATAGGGTTTTTCTTTTTATCATGTCACATAAAATATCATCTTTCATGTCATAGATATAATAAGTGGGGTCTACCACTTATTAAAAAAGAAAAAAACAAACAAACAGGATAACAAGATTTTTGATGTCTCACAACATAAGAAAATTATCTCCTGTTACGTAAGAAAATGATTTCTCCAAAATATATTATTTTAAGTTGTACACATACGAAACCGACAACTGTATACTGCTCCACACTACCCTTAAATAGAGATACCCTTTTACTTAGGATTACCTCATCTCCTTTTCTTCATAGAACACCTTCATATTCATATGATGAAGGACTCAATAGTTCTATACCCTGCATTAGGGAGGGGACACCTAACCTCAATGGTTGAGTTAGGCAAGTTTATATTAACCCATAACCCTTCCTTTTCCATCAAAATTCTTATCCTTACACCACCCAACAATAACAACCAACACACCCCTTCCACCACCCACTTCGGCTGCGACGCCACCACCCAATACATAGCCACCGTCTCCGCCACCATACCCGCCATCACTTTCCACCAAATTCCCACCATATCATTCCCCGCCAGCACCACCCTCCCACCTCACATACTCAGCCTCGAGCTTTGCCGCCGTAGCAATCAACAAGTTCGCCATGTCCTTCAATCCATTTCCAAAACCACAAACATTAAGGCCATTGTTATGGACTTCTTGAACTACAGCGCCACACAAATTACCATAACCCTTAACATCCCCATTTACTTTTACTACACTTCAGGAGCTTCTACTCTTGCTGTTTTTCTTCAGCTTCCAACCATTCATGAAAAGACCACAAAATCTATCAAAGACTTTCAAATGCATCTTCAAATCCCTGGATTACCGAAAATTCCCACAACAGAGTTACCAACTGAAGTCCAGGATCGTGCGAGTCAGAGTTACCAGGTTTACCTTGACTTAGCAACAAGCATGAGGGACAGTGATGGGGTTATCATAAACACCTTTGATGCCATTGAAGGAAGAGCTATCCAAGCTTTAAGCGCAGGGTTGTGTCTTCCTGAAGGTACCACACCACCTATGTTCTGCATTGGACCATTGATCTCACCGCCTTGTGAAGAAGAAGATAAGAGTGGGTGTTTGAGTTGGCTCGATTCACAACCGAGTCAAAGCGTCGTGTTGCTGAGTTTCGGAAGCTTCGGAAGGTTTTCGAGAACTCAGTTGAAGGAGATTGCTATTGGGTTGGAGAAAAGTGAGCAAAGGTTTTTGTGGGTTGTGAGGAGCGAGTCATGTGGAATGAACTCGGAAGAACCGAGTTTGGACGAGTTGCTGCCAGAAGGGTTTTTGGAGAGAACTAAGGAGAAGGGAATCGTGGTGAGAAACTGGGCTCCACAGGCTGCGATTTTGAGTCATGACTCGGTGGGTGGGTTCGTGACTCACTGTGGGTGGAACTCGGTGTTGGAAGCTATTTGTGAAGGAGTGCCAATGGTGACGTGGCCTCTGTATGCAGAGCAAAAGCTTAATAGAGTGATTTTGGTTCAGGAAATGAAGGTGGCTTCGGCACTTAACGAGTCTATAGATGGGTTAGTGAGTGCAACTGAGTTTGGAGACCGAGTTAAGGAGCTTATAGATTCAGAGAAAGGAAAAGAGATTAGACAAAGGATTTTCAATATGAAAATTGGTGCTGTGGAAGCAAGAGCGAAAGGTGGATCTTCCCAAGTTGCTTTGAATAGGTTGGTTCAGCTGTGGGAAGAGTGCTGAGGTTCAGAGTCTCGTTATATTATTCTTCTGCTTGTTTTAGTGACGTATAAGTAAGAGAAAATTAAATAAGAGTATATGAACTAGTTTGAGAGCTAGATATATTCAATTGTGGGTAAAATTAGTTGATTAATTATTATAATTCCTGTTATAAACTTTGCATGTGATCCCATGTACTATATATGTGATGAGCTTTTCAATATAATTTTTTCCCTGGGTTATATTAATTTTTATTTTTTGAAATCCACTCCACTAATATCATAGATTGCCTATGAATTAATCCAGAATTTGAATTAATTCGGAATTCGAGATATATTCAGAATTAAGATTTTAAATATCTTTCAAATATTATACTGCGAAGGATCGAACATATATTTTTATCTCCATCTGCTCAATTTTCATGCACTAACTGAATTTTCATAAAATATTCGTATTCATATATTTGGTAGAATTATAATTTATTATTTTATATGATGCCTTAGATTATAAATTAATTGCTCTTGCTTTCATAAAATATTTAACTGAATGTTATATAGTTTGAAATATTTTCCATTTTTAATGTTTTGTTATGGAACAAACCTGTTAACGTTATATGACTAGAAAAAAAAATCGCATTGATATGGTGCAATTACATTAAGATTCATTTACATTAATAATATTTGATAATCAGTTACAAAAAAATAAAATAATATATGATAATCAAGACATTCAAAAGCTAACTGTAACACCTCGTGTATACCCGATTTGTTATCATATCATCGTATTAATCAGTGCTTACTTAAAAATGCGGAATAACTTCTTACTTTTTCAATTATGACGTCATTACATTACCAAATTGATTACTTACTCCTATTCATAAAACATTACCTGTATGTAAATTGCAATAAAGCTAAATACACTGAATAACCTCAATATATATAAATAACTGTTAGTATCTAAGTCACGGTACTACAACACGTAGTCCTGACCATAATCCTAATACATTAATACAACTCTAATTCAAAATAAGACATAGTCAATCAATGTGGCATGGACAACTCCCGTGCTCACCAAATAAGGCAACAAAGCCCAACAGAGTCACAACAACAACAACAACATAATAATAAATATAAAGCAGTTCAGCATCCAAGCATAATCCAAGCACATCATCATAAATCATAAATTTCAACTCAGCTCCGACCTCCTGCCGCCCGAGGTCTCAATGTAAGGACCTGCACCGTTAATTAAGGTAATTAATTAATTAAGTATGGGAATTAGGAAATAATCTCATAATTGAACTCTAATAATTATTATGAGACTCTAATAATTATAGCAAGTGATTAAGAATGTTGAAAGTCGCTTTTCGGAAGAAAAGTGCAGATACCGATTCTGCTAGTCGGTATAAATGCGTACCTAAAAAGTATCCCGAAAAATTATGAAAAGTACATGATAATTCCTAGAATAATATATAGGACTTGTAAAACGAGTTTCAAGTTAAAATAATGAGAACTGGTGCCAGAAACTGATACTGGCTATGAAAAACGCGTACCGGAAAGGTGCTCTAAAAATATAATAAAAATATGATAATTCTTGTAAAATTGAGTAGGTTAAGTATCCAAAGTTTTGGATTAAAATTATAAGCGTAGCAATTAAAGTTAATACTGTGTGTTTTAATTTTAAGTGAGCTATATATACGACTTTTGGGCACTAAACCCTAGATAACCACTCTTGCTACGTGACTCGGGAGTTGGTGGCTGACCAGAAACTTGGTTCCTTGCTTTCTTCCCTTGGGATTTAAACTTTGAAGCTTTTCCTTTGATTTTCTTCCTCTTTCTCTTGAGTAAATACTTGGTGGTGTGAGTGAGAAGGTAAAGGGTACTTCTTTCTGGTTTGGAGTGGCTACGTAGTGGGTTGTTGTTGCTGTCTTTGGTTTGGGGTGAGAGTGTGCACCTTTTCTTGGCATTTGTAGTGTCGAAGAGCCATCTTTGGGTGCAAGAACCAAACTTGTTACTCCATTTTCGTTTTGGGACCAAGTCAGAATTGTGAGGAGCCATTGGTGAGCTCAAAGACCACTTTTTCCTCTGTTTTAAGCCTTGGGGTGAGTTGCCTAACCTTTGGCCTTGTGTTTTGATGATTAAAAGAGGTGTCTTTGCATGGAAATGAGTTAAACATGTAATCAACTGATTGTTGAACCTAAATGAGCTTAAAGATGCATGCTTTAACATTTTAAAAATGTTAAAAATGGAACCTTGGAAGGATATCTTCGCGAAATGCAGAAACTGCATTCTGTCGCAAAATATACAGATATTTGCTCGTGAAATATTCGGATATTGATATCCGGATATGTGTATCCGGATATCGGAATCTGGATATCCAGATATTGATATCCGGATATTGCCATATGGATATCCGGATATGTCTACGAGGAATATCCGGATATTCTGGGATTTCGAAGAATAGTAGCTGTATTGTTCATACAGTAGGCTATTGGGGGTCTGTGGACCCTAGATTGATGAAGTTGAACTTCTGTAATTAATTAACTAAGTCAGAATCAAGTGATTAAGGGCTTATGGCTTTGTGTGAAGCCTTAAGACATAAAATGTAAAGGAAAAACTTATGAATGTTGATATGCTTGTTGTTCCTATATCAGATTGTGATCTGCTGTGTGTTGGACTTGAGCTGTGGACTCTTGGATTGGATAGTTAGCTTAAGAGGTAAGCTTTTGTGTCCTCGGTTTAGCCATGTTGTGGTTCCACCATGTCCCATGGGGGTATGTTTATATGCATGTTGTGTTACATGCTTTTGATGTTCTGGAAATGCTATTGAGCTGTTATATGCTAGTGCCTTTATGATATGCATGTGGTGTTCCACCTATACGGTAAGCCTGAGTATATGGTACATACAAGATGGTGAGGCTGTAGGTGAGATGCAAGCGGTGTTCCTTGTACTACATGTAGGTATAGACGTATTCCTGCATTTCTCTGGCCAGTAGAATAGTGATAACATACATCGTATGAATATTTGTTGCACTGCATAGTTTTGGAACTTATATTGATATAAATGCTTTTAGAACTTATATTGCATATGTAAGTGAGCTTGGGGTGGAAGATCCTTGAGGACCCCTTGTCTTACTGAGATTTCTTGTTTAGAGATCTCACCCCACGTTTGGGGAATGCTTATTTCAGGATCAGGTAATGTTGGGGTTGAGGCCCCAGGCGGCAGGAGGCCGGAGCTGAGTTAGATATTGATGATATTATATGCTGACATGTTGGATGCTGGATATGCTTGCTGCTTTTATGTTTTTAGCTTCATTTTATGACTTTGGATTATCTTGTTGAGACTCTGTCGTTATGTTGTTGATTTGGTGAGCCTGGGGATTGTCCATGCCACTTAGACTGGGTTATGTCTTGTTTTATTTAGAGTCGTATCAATGTATCAGGATATTGTCCGGATTACGTGATGTAATGCCGTGACTTAGATACTCACTTTATATTTTATATTGAGGTATTTCAGTTAGTTGTCTTGCAATTTACATACAGGCATTGTTTTTATGAAATTGATTAAGTAATCAACTTGGCTAAGTATAATGACGTCATAATTGGAAAAGAAAAAGATATTCCGTAATTTTTAATTAAGCGCAGCATAATACGATATAATGTTAATAAACCGGGTATACATGGGGTGATACATTTTATGGTATCAGAGCAACGGTTCTAGGGAAAAGCCTGTATGTATTGCAATGATTAGGATGTTTGGTTGTGTCTGTCTTGTGTGTTTGCTCCGTTGGTTTTATTTATGATGATGCATATGTGATCACATTGCGTGGGTCTGATCAACTCATAATTTGTGTAACTTGTGCAGAGTCATGGTAGGATCCAGGAGAGCACGAGAGACTGTTGAGGGTCAACCCGACCCAATCCTGACTGCATTGGCTGAGACGCAGGAGGCCACTAGACTGGCCAACATGGCAATGATGGACGCTGTTAGAGAAGCGAACCAGAAGGCCACGGAGGATGTTCTTGAGGCGAACCGGCTGGCGAACATAACTTTGATGAGGGTCATGTTGGAGGAGATGAGAGCTGGTCCCGCTGTTGGTCAGTTCCCACCGCCACCACCTCCACCGCCACCACCACCGTCGCCTCCACCTAGTGTTCAAGTTGAGAGCCTGAGTCACATTGGTAGTGCTACTCATGTCACATGGGTGATGGAACTCTTTATGGAGCATGTTGAGGACCGTGACGTGATTGATCGTCGGTTGAACGCTTTCAGAAAGCATAAGCCGCCTTCTTTTGATGGGTCTTTGGATCCTATTGCTGCGGCGAGATGGCTGCAGGCGCTAGACAAGATCTTCTGGGTCATGCAGTGTACAGATCCGCAGAAGTTCATGTTCGCTACTTACATGCTGGAGGGCGATGCCCTTGAGTGGTGGACGAACATTTCTCACGTCTACGAGATGCAGGGCCACAAGATGACATGGCCATTCTTCGAGGATTGCTTTCTGGGTCAGTACTTCCCTTATGATGCATAGGAGAGGAAGCAGGGGGAGTTTGACAAGTTGGTTCAGGGCTCGTTGTCTGTTGACGAGTACCTGGCCAAGTTCAACCAATTGGTGAAGTTTGCACACTTCTGGATAGAGAGGCCTACTCCGACGTTTTTGGCTGCTAAGTTCCGCAGGGGACTTAGTAAGGATATTGCTGGTTACCTTGTTGGTTCTGCTTCGAGAGACTTTGGGACACTGGTGCAGCAGTGTCGTGATATCGAGGACTTCTACGACTTGAGTAAGGCCAAGAAGGCCAAGGTTGCTGAGGCGACGAAGGTAGCTGGTAGTTCCATTTCTTGGAAAGACAGGAAGTTTGCTGAGAAAGGCAAGGGAAAACAGTTTGTGTCTAGGCAGGCGCCTGGTCAATTCAAGAGGACTGCTTCACAGCAGGGGAGTGTTGATAGGCCTTCTTCCACTCCGAGGTGTTCGGGGTACGGAAAGGAGCATGCTGGACATTGTGTTACCGGGCAGTTGATTTGTTTTC